TATCTGCTGAAATTTTTAGGAATTTTTGGCCAGCCTCAGACTTCTCCGGATCTTAATGTCAAACTGTCCGTCCTCTGTTAGAACACTTCCCAGATACTTAAATTTCTGTACCTGCTTGATTTTACTATCCCCGACCTGTAATCTGCATTTTGGGCTCACCCCTTTTGCTGATAACCAAACATTCTGTCTTCTTGTATTTTATGCTTACCCTTTTCTTCTCGCTTTCATTTTCTACCTTCTGTCGGAAGTTCCTTGTATGTTATCAATATTGTGTCATTTGCATATCTTATATTGTTAAGATTGTGATCGCTAATAATGAATCCTGGTAGGACTTCTAATTCTCTCAGAACTAACTCGACCTACTGCTTAAACTAATTCTTTAGCTCGAGCCCTTGAATATAGCTTCGATTTTGATTTTAAGGAAGTTCCTTTTTTTTTATCGTTGTCGATGAATCAAAAATATGATACTCACCACGCAAAGAAGTTCCCAAATAGCGTCCATTGGGAAGACGAAAAATAAAACAGGTTGTAACTAAATGCCTGGGATTTATTCTGAACATTAAAGAATTGTGGCACAAGGCCGAGGGGGAAATATGGAATGACTGGTCTTCATTAGGTATCATGCCCTAGTTAATGCGACTCATGAGCCATCCATTCACTCATTACAATTTACTCGTTCACCACAAGAACTCAGCCATCACCTCTCAATCCAGCATATACCACAATACCGCATATTCACAGGGGACCTACTCCACGACATAAAAATTTGGTGAAAGTCCAAAATATATAAAAATATATAAAAACAAAATCATGTAGAAGCATTCGAGAAAGAGTTGGCTTGCATCTTGTGCAAATGAAAATAATTTCCTTACCTTAACACACGGCATGTAGCGTCGGAATTTTATTCCTTGAAAAAGGCATTAATTTCCACTCTTCACGTAGATTTATTTCCGCTTTATACAGAAATTGTGGTACAAGGCCTTACCGGAAGTGGTACTCATTACCTACCCTATTCTATTTAATCAGATTCACGACCCATTCACTCATTACAATTTAATCATTCACCACAAGAACTCATCCATCACCTCTCAATCCAGCATATACCAAAATATCGCATATTCACAGGGGACCTACAAAACCCCCCATGACATAAAAATTTAAAGTCTGTTTATTGTAGTTTTTTTGTAAACAAAATAATATATATATATATATATATATATATATTTCGTTTATAAAAATTAGGTAAATATGGGTAAACCTAAGGAGGATAAAATCCAGAGAGCTCAATATAAATCCAGAGCAAATAATTGCATAAATAATTTAAAATTTAAAAAATTTTATATATATATATATATATATATATATATATATATATATATATATATATATATATATAATATATTAAATTAATAAACATACTTGGTCGTCCGTCGGGACTCATACATATATAAACATATGTGGTCAGTTTCGGATATGAAATATAAATAATAATTTTTACCTATTATAATAATTCTACACAAACCCCACAACACGTATATACATACATGCGAAGAAATTTATTCACTGAAAAATAAAAATATGACATGTATACATTCACGGGAAATCTTCGCTACGCTCCCAATCTTTGAATTTCAACATACAAATGCGTATGTATAGACACAACACCACCCGTATACATACATATGTCATATCCGAAACTGCCCACATATGTTTATATTAAATTAATATATATATATATATATATATATATATATATACAGAGTACATATATATATATATATATATATATATATACACACACAGAGTACTGAAGTGTTACGTGGTACGTGATATATATATATATATATATATATATATATATATATATATATATATAACACAAGCTTTCACGGTGTACTGATGAATATTTATTGAACACAGTATCCACAACAAATTCAACATCGAATGAGGACCTACAGAATAGTCTTGCCTAAGTCGTAGAATGAAATCTCCTAGTCTGCTATGCACCCTACCAACAGACCCAGTCGAGTAGTCATACAGATTCAACGTCTAATACAGTCGAGTAGTGTCTGTTTCTCCAACTAAATTCTGCAATTGCGATTAACGTGCCTTTTCCATGTAACGTCTTTTAGGCCACGTAAAGGGACGGGATTTTAAAAACGATATCAATTCAATATTTAAATGTCAGTATAATTTTAAAACGTAACTGATTCAATCTGTTATATTTTGGACAACTGCATCCAAATTTATTCAGAAAAGGAAAGAAAAAGTTTCTTCGATTAAATCAAGTAAAGAAAACGAAAAAATAAAATCATGTGAAAAAGAATTTGATTACCTTTTTATGAACAAAGTGCGTGATATATTTTTCAATGTGCGGTCATGTCAGAAAGAGAAGCGGACAAATTAAGACAAGTGTCCGAACAGCGATGATGCAATGTAACTTGTTTGGGATTTCGAGACATGTAATCAGCAAGGTCATAAGAATTAGTTTCCCAAAACA